ATTGCTGAAGAAACATAAAATATAAAATGAATATCATCAAGAAAAGAAAATATTTCTGCAATTATATCTTAGTAGACAGTTGATTATAATGAAATGTTAATTATCACTTACTCATACAAAAATACTCATACATGTGCATGTACATACTTATACACACAGCTACTATACAGGCTTCCATACAGTGTCAGTATATCATCAACATAGTTCATTATAAATCAATATATAACAGAATAAACAAAAATTAATTGGTTAAGCAAACAAATTATTTTCTTGAATAAAAGATTTAAGCTTATTTTTAAAAATGTTAATTGAAATGTTATTATAGAGAAAGCCGCTTTTAATAATGAAATTCCAAATTCGTGTACCTCTACATATAACGTGCAAATGTAATATATTAGTTTTTGATCTATTCGATTGCAAATAGCTTATTTGTCTATAGCTGCATACATGTCTGAAATAATTATTAAAAATAGCAGTCAATTTATTGTTAATTTGTTTATAAACAAATATCAAAGTAAAATAATTAACTAATTGATCAAAATTGAGATTCTTTGTTTTCACAAACAGTTCTTTCGTATGGGACCTCCACTTTGACATTGTTACTATCCTGATTGCTCTTTTCAACGTGAGTTTAACTGGCTTTGTGATGGAAGGATAGGTTCCAGCCCAGACAACGTTGCAGTAAGTCACATACGGCATACATAATTAGCGAAACAGTAAATTCGGGCAACTTTTGGAAGATAAAACTTTATCTTGTTTATGAGACCGGTCGGTCACGACATTATTAATATGATCACAAAAAGTTAATTTTTGATCTAAAAGTACACCGAGAAATTTAATAGTTTTACATTTACTTATTTCTAGATTATAAATCTTAATTTTAAATGGCTCTTTGTAATTCAGATATTGTTCCCTCTGCTGAATACATTGGTGTCATCAGCAAAACAAGCATAATTGAAGAATTTAGATGCGTTTGGAAGATCATTCACAAACAGAGTAAAAAGGAGAGGGCCCAGTATGTTGCCTTGTGGTACTCCTATTTTTTGATTTGTTTTTCTGAATTTTTATTGCTCCATAAAACAAATTGGAATCGTGACGACAAGTAACTACAAAACCAGCCCAAGGATGGTTCCCTTATCCCATAATGTTCAAGTTTTCGAAGCAAAATCGAGTGATCGATACAGTCAAAGGCCTTTGACAGATCAAGGCATATACCAATGACGTAGTATTTTCACTATTTTCACTAGCTTCACCAATTTTCTTGACCAGATCCACTACTACCAGCTCTGTCGAATGGCTTTCACGGAAACCAAATTGATGATTTAACAAGACATTACATCTTTCAAGATAACTTGTTAATCTAATATGCATCAATTTTTCAACAATCTTCGAGAAGGATGGCAATAATGAGATTGGACGGAAATTTTTGTAATCAGTATTACCACTATCTTTTGCAACGGGGATAACTTTTGCAATTTTAAAACACTTCGGAAATGTTCCAATTCTAATGACATGTTGATGAGATACTCAAGGATCTTGGCAGTTGAATGAATTGTAGCAATTACAACATTTGTTGATATGCCGTCGTATCCGCTTGAAGTCTTGGGTTTCATACCAGTTGCAATGATTTCGTCCGACGTCACATAGGAGCAGAAAAAAGAATTTGGTGACCTATTTTGAAGATAATTTATCCAATCACTGTTGTTGGCAAACGATAGTTGTAAATTAGAGGCCAGATTGATGAAGTAATTGTTAAGAATTAATTAAGAAGTAATTGTTTCTGGGTTATCAATTGGATGATTGTTTGATGTTATACTTCTGTTTGATTTTTTTAAATATTATTATGTTTGGAAATTTTGTTGATAATTTACCAGGTTTTTTTGCTGTCTTTCCGGTTTTGCTCAAAGAGATTAAAATAATATTGTTTCTTCAATTTAAACCTAATTTTTGTCCACAGATTACTATATGATTTGAATGTTAAAGAATTTTCTGAGGATGGTTGTTTTCAAAAATTTTTATATGGGATTTTTTTCTTTATTAACATTTTTTTAAAATTCTTTGTTATCCATGGCTTGTTTTAAGATTTTCTTTGCGATTAATTTGAAAAATCTTTTATATCCTACAATTTTAAATTCCATTTTCAAATCTTCACATCAGAACAAATGAACTACATATGTATGTATGTTGGTTAATAAGTACACACAAGTTATAAATGCTTTTTTAAATTGGGAAGTTTCAAAAACAAATTTGTTTTTTAAAAAATGAGTCTTCTTTTCAAAATTATTTTAAGGGTGTTGACTGACTGATGAGATATTTAAAACATCGGAAAATGTAAAACCACCACCAATTTTCATTGTTACTATACTAAATATTATTATTATTATTACTATTACTATTGATCTAGAAAACCGTCTACAATATGTTACAATAAAAAATAAAAACTCTAACAAACTACCAATTTTAAGCGGAGTTCCACAAGGTGGTGTGGACCTCGGACCACTTCTTTTCAATATATACATAAATGACATAGTTAATGTACAAGTACATCTTAACTCAGATATAGATTTAATCATCTATGCAGATGACTGCACTATGTGCGCAAATTCAAATAACATACCTGATTTAATTCACAAAACTGAAACATTTCTCTCTAAAATTGAAAAGTGGTCTAAATTAAATAAACTCTCTGTGAACTTAAAAAAAAAACAAAATTCATGATTGTTCCAAATAAAAGAAATACACCTATGCATAACATAACTTTAAAATTGAACACCAAGGAAAATAATGAACAGAGCTTAACAAAAGTTGATAGCTTTAAACTTCTGGGTGTATGCATCGACAATAAACTTAACTTTAATGATCACATCAAACTAATTCAAACAAAAATTAATATAATTTTTGGCATAATGATACGAATTAAAATTTTTTTAAAATAATAATACTAAATGACTACTTTACCAATCATTAATTTTTAGTCATTTTTACTATGGTAACCTGATATGGGGTAATACAAACATTTCAACACTTAACAAATTATTTAGCGCACAAAAAAATATAATTAATTTTCTATTTAAAATCGATTATAATCACTCCAATTGCAATATATTTAATAATAATATTTTATCAATTTTTGAAATAAATTTCTATAAATCATCTTTACTAACATTTAAAATTATCAACAATATAACATCTACAACTGATATAATGTTAATTAATACGATTAAATTTATAGCTAACCCCTGGATTGACAGAACTAACAATACTAATATAATCAAGCCATTAATGAATTTAAATAAAATAACATCCAGAAACTTTTGTTATTATGCACCTTATAAATGGAATAATCTGCCACAATATTTAAGATCAATTAATAATCTAACAGAATTTAAAAAGAGGTTGAGAACCTTTTTTAAATTGTTTAAGTTAAATTTATTAATATTTTATTTTTAATTTTATTCATCTTTTAAGTTTAAATGTATCAATGTTTTATTTCTAAGTTTATTCATAAAAATTTAAGAACATTGAAGAATTTTATTTTACTCATTTATGTTATTGTGTTTTTTTTTTATTACTTGCTATGTTATTTCTTGTTTTATGGGAGTCAACCCTAGATAAGCATTTATTGCTAGGCTGCCTCTCACTTTTTTGTGAATAAATGGAATTAAAAAAAAATTGATTTTCATCATTATTCTTTAATTACTTACTACCAAACAGTTTGATGTTTGCTTTTGAAAGATCATCAAATATTTAAATATCGAAATTAATAAAAAAATGATTTAATCATAATATAAAATCATTTTAATATTCATTATTTCAAAGTGATTTTACAATAATTTATTTGGTTTGTTCAAATAAAACAAAATGAAGATATTATGCACTCAATGGTCTAGTGTTTAAGGTCGCCTGGTCCTGTTTCGCAGTGGGTCCAAAAGGTGCCCGCCTGCATCATTCTTCGTGTCTGGTGCGTCATTTAACACGTATTTATATACGATGTTTGTGTGCTGTTGGGTCCTCTAAACTTTGGAAAAAAATAATAGACATTTGAACTTTTTAACCTCAAAAACCGGCCCAAAAATCTGTAGGCCTAATCAAGCTTGCTTCAGCTTCATAACACAACTTATTTTGGACAACTTATTTTTGACAAGGCTTGCAATTGAATCATAATTCATCTCCACTGCCACATGAACTTGTCGTATGAACAGATTTCCACCTTAACTTTTTATTTTACGGTTGGTCAGATTGTTGAATATTATTTGAGTCATTAAATTGAATGCAACGGTCAACTCACAAAAAGACCAACCATCCAAACGCGGATCACTCGAAAATTGTTGTTCAATGCTACGAGCCACGCCTTGTTCTTCAACAATTTGTGAACATGAATTGTGTATTAATTGTAAACTATTCCTAATTTTAGAATCTACACTACACGTATAAACGTTTGAATTTGTTTTTGTTACTGACCAACATAGGCGTAATAATAGATGAAGTCTGTTACATGTGGTTTTAATGACGTTGAGCATACACCTGCATTTTTTTCAATTTTTATTTTTTATTTTACCACAAAAGTATATCACTACATCAGGCTTTAATGGCGAACCATTTACAGTCTGATAAAACAACGCCATTAACTAAAAAAAACAGTTTAGTGGTATTTCAAATTGTTTAATAATTCTTGAAATTTGAAGCAAGTCAATCATTCGCAATGTTTGATAGGGACGATGGCAATGTGTATGTCAATTATATCCAACATTGCGGTCAGGTAAAATTTACTTAATATGAATTATTGTGAAACTTTTAAAAGAATGCCAGAGTTTATATTTTTTATCTACATTTTTATTTTTATAATTTTTTTGTATATTATAATCTGCTCTTCAAAATTAATCATTTTAGCTGTGATGCTAGAACAATTTGTTGAGAAAATGAGAATAACCGTAAAAAAATATAAAGAAACTTTTTGAAATTATAAAAGCCAACAATTATACAAAAAATAATTAATAAATATGTATGAACGCATAATCATTGGACAAGCCGCAACCAATTATATTGTTAAAGTAAGTAATAAACTTTAATTTACAATTTGATTTAGTTAAATAATAAATTTGAGAAAAATAATTTGGGCCACTATCCTGCGATTTGGTTAAGTCTTTTGTGAGTTTGAATTTTGGAAGTAACCTTTTAGATTAATTTAGATTCGAATCTGCACCGATCCATCATTTGGATTCGCCTCCGTACGGATCCATCATTTTGATCCCGATCTGAGTCCGATACCATGAATCTTAAGTTTTTTTTCCACTTCAATCTTAAATAATATTTTAATATTTTACAATTCAAGGTTTAAAGACTGGAAAGAATTAAACCCAAAACGCTCAATACTATTACCCCATTTTAATTTTGATCGAATATTTGAAGATAGAAAAAATTTAACCGAATTATCAAGAGCCGATGTAAAGACAGTTGAGTTGTGTGGACTGAGTCAAACTTTTGCATACGTGAAAGATAGCAGCGTCAACGCCACGATGAATAATATGTTATTGTTCTTAAAACATGACGCCTATCCTTTGGCGGAGACTATTTTAAATAACTTGAAAAAAATATTTGCTCGCATGTCTTCCATTTCTTACATTACATTCAACTCTTCGAAAATGGAAAATATGAATGATTTTAATTCAACCCTGAAAAATCGTAGTTTCAGCCTCAAAACTAACAGCAACAGCTCTGATGAAAATAAAGAAGCGTTTAATTTGACGACAGGAAATGCTTTCATCGTGTCAGTACATTGGAGGAAGGGAGATTTTCTACACCAATCGCAAGTTGATTATGGACTTACAACAGCTGACATGACTTATTTTGAAAGGGCCAGCAATTATTTCATCCGGAAGTTTAAAACAGTTTTGTTTCTTATTATATCTGACGATATGGAAAATGTAATCAAAGGTTTCAAGGCTAACGAAAGGCTACAACATAACTCATCTGTGAAATATATGTTTTTCCATGATAGTATCGCTCAAGATTTCGCCATATTATGTCGAAGTAATGGTTTAATAATATCGACAGGAACGTTCGGATGGTGGGCTGCATGGTTCAACAGCAAAGCACAAACCATCTACTACAAAGATTATCCTCGCGTGGGATCGTCTCTGGACAAAAATCTTAACCGATCAGCATACTATCCAGAGCATTGGATTCCTATGTAGAATTTGCTTTATATTTTTTTTCAAAAAATTTTCTAAAATTTTTAATGATAATTATTTAAATCTTTGTTTTGGTTAATTTATTTCATCTCATTTTATATGTCTCGACCACAAACTGATTAATAGCTGTGATTATAGATTGTCATAACGGCTTGAATGATCGAATAAGTAAATTTTTTATTTTGTTATGTTTGTTATCATTGCTATTTGCCATTGATTGTAAACAACAAAATCTTTTCATCTACAGAGGATTGTAAAAATCTAATGTAGAGGCTGTATAAGATGTTGCAATGAGTGAATTTTGTAGCGAGGTTTGTAGAGAAGTCGTTAATGGAATTTATGTAGTTACTTGGATTAGTTTAGTGTTTCTATTACTGTTGGCATTCGAATAAACGTTCAACAAAGTTTGCGCTTGAAACAGTTGTGTTTGAAACAGCTGTATCAAAGTAAAATAATTAAACAAGATTGGATTAAAATACATATAGGAATAGCCTGCAAACTTAGAGTAAGAGTGATTATCCTGTAGTACTAATAAAAAGCAATTAAACGTTGAATTGAAAATAAATAAAACAAATATATAAAGTGAGTAAAATGGAACAAATAAATAAATATGATTTAAATGTTGAAATGAAATAAAATTAAATTTAAATTAGCAAGTGCGGATGTCAATATTACAGATCGGAAATGGAAACAAAACGTGTGTAGTGATGGGATGGTAAATGGGTGTAGGTTAAGATAATATGCAAGCGGGTAAAATGTAGCATTGTGAATATACGTTGAGTTAGGGTTAGGGTTAGTTAAAATATAAAAATAAAATTAAATATGGATGAAATGAGAGCAAAATAAATGAGTTTTTAATATTAAATATTAGAATAACGTTGCGAGTGACGTGACGACGTAGGATTTTTGACGAGTGATCACAGGCTGCGTAGTATTGAAGTGTGGAGTTTATCAAATATTAGAAGGTATTCGTACAGTTTCGGCAACTTGACCTGCTGTGGATCGTTTCCTATGGACCGTCGGCGTTAAATCGCAATACTGGGAAAACAATGGGAGAATGTGTTCAAATCTGTTAGTTTGCTTGTTTGTTCATAGTTGGTTAGAATTTGTTGATGTAAAGGGCCTCCCAAATTTTCCACCGACCAGGGTGTGTTGCTGAATCGAGAATTGTAATCTGATGAGTATGGTGTACGTTTGTCATATATTTTTTGATACCCTCATTTGTACGTGCGAGGTGAGCTGACACTTGTTCTCATCCATATTTTATTTTATATTTTAATTAACAACGTACATTCACACTGCTACATTTTACTCACTCGCATATAATCATTATAAAGTTTGCTTTCGAATAACCTGATTTATTAATCTAAAATGGAATATCTAAATGAGTGAATAAAGAACATAAATAAAATCAATTGAAACAATATGAAATATTACAGAAATTATAAATGAATAACCAACCTAAAATAGAAAAATTAAATTCCAGGATCGTTTACAAAGCCAACAATAATAAAATATAACCACGTGGAATAATAAAATATAACCACGTGCTATTTGCATTTATATATAAGATGATACCAAAGTAATGAAACCTAATTTACAAGCATAGAATAGAAATTCAAAAAATACCTAAACATAGATAATTATATGAAATATAATTTACATACATAACCTACATTCATTTACACTAGTACCATCCTATCACTACACACACATGTTTTATTCTCCAGTTACAATCCGGCGCCAATATTAGTACCTATTTAAACACTCCATAGATCGTCTTCTTCTTTCTCGTGCCTAATCCTTTCAAGACATTGGAGGCCATCGACCTCCACAAAACCCGATTTTTAACACTCTGTAGTAGTTGAAATGTGGTGATATTCATTAAGTGACACAGGGACTTCACGAATATTAATTCGTTGTTGACCGCGATCCCTTCTGATTTGTTAATTTTCATTATTGGTCGAACAACTGCCAGCGAACAATCTCCCCGTGAAACAACTGCTAGGGAACAATCTCAATGCGGCTCCTATGTCGATTTCAAGACTGAACTGAACTGACGCAACTGCAATGGCTAGAGAAATTTTTAAATAGCTTTACATTTTTAAAACCTGGAGCATCATTTTTTGGTTTTAACCCGAACAAAGCCAAACTAGTGACATTTTTTGAGTACTCTGACTGAAGGACATCTATAATTTTTTTTATTTCAAGTTATTTGATGGAAAATGAGCAAACATATTAAAAATTATACTTTCAAAGATTAGTGATTTAAAAAATAATTTCAACAAAATTTGTAATAAATTTAAAGAGCTGGAAACTTTTTCTTTTTCACCAGACTTTTCAGCTTCAAATTTATAAAGTTCCGATATCTATACAACTGGATTATTTATTTTCAGAGCTCAAAAATATATAATTTTTAGATATAAATTATCTAGAAATAAAAATAAGGTTGCAAAAATTCTGTGTTTTTTTGGAACACATAGTCACGTGTGTTTCTAATAAAAGATAATACTAATAAAAGCATTCATTGATCCAGGTTAACTGACAAAAACATGCTTGCCTGCCGCTCTGAAGGTAGATGACATTTCGTTTAACGAAAATATAATGTAACAAAAGCGTTTACAAGCTTTTAGTAAAAATAATTGCTATCAAAATATTGTATTAAAGCAATTAATTAACGCCACGATTATGCATTGCGCTTGCAGCCAAAAATGATCGTCAAAACTGAAGCAGCTTGCGAAATTAAAAACTAAGGTCCAAAAAATGGTCAATCGAGTTTAACGCTGCTGATTAGATGGAATCATTCAGCTGTTAAAAAATTTAAAGAAACTGGCAACAATGTGTTCTATTTCTGATAACAGTTTTAACAAAAATTATTCCAATACAAAATCGGCAGTAAGATGCATCAATGATTTTAATGACATAGCGTCACATTAATCTATTTTATATTCTGTGTGAACTCTTAAACGTCAGCCTCACGTTTATAAAAAAATTTCTGAGAACAGTTGAGTATATAATGTAAGTTTTGTTGAAGTGCAAAGGTTGCTTACAAACATAACGCAACTTTTTTCTAACAAGTATGCATTTTTCTGTATGAAGGTCGTTTTACATAAAGCTTGAAAATATTTTCAAAAGTTGTTTGGTTTATTTTGCATAGATAGGACTAAATTGCAAACTTTTGTCAAACATTAAACCAGGAAAATGAAAACTTGCACTTGCAAGAGCTTATGTTAAACGTGTTAAACACATTAAGAATTAAATTTTATTCACTAAATAATAGAACATTGAAAAGTTAATGAACGTATAAAATATAAAATTGTTATTGTTATATAATATAATATAATATTATTTTTATTGTTATAAATATTAAAAAAAATTTTGATTCAGTCTTCTTTCGTACATTTTTATCTTCTTGTTGCATGCGCTAAATCTATTTTAATATGATTATTCATTTTGACTACAATATGTGAATGCATACTGCGCGATGGTGTAGCGTTAAAGTGCCTGGTACTGATACTGCTGGGACCGGATTCGATTACAAAAAAATCCCGCATACCAGTGTGTGTGTGTGTGTGTGCAGTGTGTGTGTGCAGTGTGTGTTATACGCTGTTTCACGTGTATTCAAACGCACTGTATGTTTGCTGTTTATGCCTTTGAAAAATATTGAAAAATGAATTGTAATAAAATAAATAAAAAATTGTGATAATTATAAATAAAACGTAAATGCAAATAAATATAGAAACAAAAATCATAAGATATTAAAAGAAAGCAAATTATAAACATTTTATTAATATTAGTTTGACAAAAATTTAAAGACTACCATATAAATTGTTTGTTTGCTAATCATTTAATAAAACTTCTATTCTGAGTAAGATGTTTTTTAATCAGAACATTAAATAATCACATTTAACTTGATGTTCTACTGTTTACATTCGTCTGTCATTATTTTTTGATCGTCATAGCAAATTAAAAAAATCCGATTCGATGCAAATGAGCTTTTCAACAAATTTGCAAATGCTTTGAGAGCAGATCCTGTAAAACGTGACAGTCACCCCGAATTCGTTGTAGAAATCAATTCCTTTTAATATTTATAATTAGAATTAACAATCTTTCGTTCTAAAATTTTATTAATGTTTCGATGCCAGCTATGCATGGAAGATGATAGATACATGGGAGAGGATGGTGGAGAAGGTGACAATTGGGATTATTCTGGTTGGGGTGGAAAATTCTTCACAACAATGTTTTGATTTTGAATATTTGACGATTGGTTTATTCGAAAGATATCACCAAGATACAATTTGTTTATAAATTGAATAAAATTACTAACGATGATAATCTATGTTTAAAATGAATTAATTTGGAAAAAAAACTTCAGTGCCATCATTTTGTGATTATTTTTTATTTAGTATTTGGTAAATTTGTCTAACCCCCTCTTAACCACCCAAATGTCCATTATTGTTGATGTCATTTTGTATTAAAAGCGTTGGAAAGTTAAATGGAATGGATGCACATATGATCGTTTTAAAGTGGACAGTGGTATTCCACAGGAAAGTGTTCTGGGTCCTGTGTTGTTTGTCATTCATAATGAATGATATTTTGGATGTTTGAAAATTGAATTCTGGGATTGGCCTTTATATGCATGCTGATGACGCTAAGATATTTAAACATTTTTCATGTAATGAGGATTGGGTGGTTTTACAAGCTTGTTCGAATGATTTGTATGAATAGAGTGTGAAATGGGAACTGAAAATAAATGTTGATAAATGTATCTCGATGTATTTTGAACATGCAAATGACTATTAATACTTTTTATAAAATCAATGGCTTTCCGTTACTGAAGAGACTGACGACGAAAAAACAAAGAGGCATCCATTTTTTTTTAATTTTTTTATAAGTTTATTTCATGAAAACACATGAATAAGGATTCCAAAAGAAACCAAAATTTCAAATAACAAGGAACCCCACAAAAAATATAATTTAAGTTGTCTACTCATAATTTTAAA